AAGGCAGAATTACAACACTGATGGGAGTTATGGGAAACAAATGAGCTAACAAAACATTCACTGTAAACGGATCTCAACAACTTGGCTTTCTATTAAACTACTACTTAACGTTTTCACCTCACAAAGACAACAGCAAGTGAAAGCAGAGTAGTAGGAACAAAAGATGAAGCTGCATGTTTTATGCGTGTTCAAATAGGATATTAGAACAATCTATAATAAAACACATGAACACAACATTTATTGAGCTATTCAGTTGTCTGGCACTGGATTTTTTCATGTGAAAAATCTGACCAAACATGATCAAGACACTTGCAATGTAGCTACACAGTTTGAATATAATAATATAATATATATATTTATATATAATATAATATACATATGAATATATTAAGGGAAACATAATAAGGGAAATCATATTGTGGTGTAAATCTCTCGAACAGCTAAAGTTCAACCACTTCCAGATCTTAATTTTAACAACAGTGAGACATATTTTCAACAAAATACATATTTCTCCGTTTACACTGGCATAAACACACTTTTTCTAATCTAGCGTTGTTACAGGATGTTGTGTTTTATAACCTGTCTCTCCCTCTCTCTGCTGGCTGTGGAAAGGCTTTCTTACATAAGAGGTCACTTATTGAACAAAAATCTCTCAATATTAGCTTTAACAACCATAATGAAGTACAATATCTTTTTTAATCACACACAGAACTATGCTTACCTCATCACACATACAAAAGTTTTGTGTTTTCAATCTGTTTTACAAGAATAAAATACAATTCAAAAAAGAAATGTGGTGTAAATTACTGTAGCTGACATTGTTTGTGTGGCACCAAACTCTGGTAACTCATTTCCCTGAGCTCTTTTAACATCAGGCTGTGACTAAAAAAGGTCATCCTCATCATTCACTGATTAGAGAAAAGGCACAGAGCTGAACAAAGCCACAGTGACACGTAATGAAGGCTTCAACGCTCGACAAGCCTCCACAACATTGTTGTGGGGATGTGTTCGCACTGGGCAGCGCTCCAGTTTTCTGGTATAATTAGTCAATTTATAATAGTGGCAGAACTGAGTATAATTCATTTTCAGTACTTAAAAGTGTCATTTTGACAAAACTGCAGTGATGTCAATAAGCACGTCCACATCAGATGCTGAGCTCATTACACCATGTAGTGAATAAAGCTCTGAAACCTTTTTTCCAATTCTCACTTAAGGCTTAAGTGACCTTTCTCTGATTCCACTCCTACCTTTGTACTCTGAGATGTCTGGACGCCATGCATGCCAGAATAAAATGTCCTGAAAAGGCCTTGCCATCTGCCACCACCACTTTGACCCAGGTGTCCTTGATGCCATTGGCAACCCTGCTGCTAATTTCAACCATAAAAACAGAAATAATCACACTGAACGAGTAAAATGGGACAATACAGTTTTACCAAACAAGTCCTGTCCCCATGTCAAGAGAATTAGCTCTAATTTGCCCTACTGCGATGAGCCACTCGAAGCACGACAAATAAATGACTCCTTGAGGGCTAATGGCTCCTGCAGGACCCTGTGGTGAGCAGAGACAGAAAACATTGCTCTTATTGTCTTCTATATCCTCCCTAATTACTCGACAGTGTTCCTCCAAGACAATTATTCTAAGAAACTTTATTTCAGTACTAAAAGGAGGTGGGTAGAGATATAACCAGCTATGAGTGACGTCATCTTGTCAGCAGCCCTCTAATCCTTCAAATCGCAGGAGTGACTGAAAGCATGTGATGGGAATAAGGTCTGGCCTCAAATCAGTGAACTCACCGTGATCGCTCAGAGGGAAAACAAGGACAGGAGATTGCTGCAGTTATTCCATTCAGTCTAGTAAGACAGGAGGCTATAAACTGTACACAAATAGTTTAACTAACCAAGCCTTGCTACACAGTGAAAAAAAACCAAAATGAGTCATACTTGAAGGAGTAAGGGCTTCTTTCTAGAGTTGCCATTTTGAAGTGATGTTCTACAGCCTCACAGGGAGGAATACTCCGTAGAGAAACGACTTTCTCAACAGAAAAAGCAGCCAGTACAGACCAGAATGTGATGCAGCTACAAGATATTGCATTATGTGTAAGGAGCCCAACCCACCTTTTCTTAAATTGAAAATATATCCTTTAGAGCAATATGCACTTTATTTCAGAAGTGAAATGTGTTGAAATTCTCTATACATATTATTTGGACCAAATGAAATGACTGGCTACCTACCTGCCTGCCACACTCTGCCTGTGTGCACTCAGTGCATGAAAATGTGTTCTGAGGGAGTGGCTTTGGAGGGAGGCCTCAAGGAAGGGGGTGGGTTTTTTTCATTTGCATACTTCTAGCTTCTAGCTGTCTCTTGCTAGTTCTCCATAGTTGCCCTCCTCAGCTTTAATGCACTTCATAACCAGTCTCTCTCTCTTTCTATCTGTATAACAAACGGCTTAGTGCAACAAGTTTGCAGGTGTTATCAAAGGTCATTCTGGAAAATGGAGTAAGTCACAAGCTCAAGCAGAAGTACTGTAGATAATGTAAATGTTTGAACATAAAAGACTGATAATAAGTGCAGTAAATGTTTGACAGTGCAGTTTACTTTTATACACTGTACTTCAATCACAGTAGAGTCAGTTCTCCTTTAGTGTGGCTAATGTTTTTAAATCAAATTGGTGTTTGTAGGCATACTAGCAGCGTTGTTCTAGAGTCTTTCAAGTCATATTGAAAAATAATTTTGAGCTTAGTACTAATTAGAAAATGTTAGCATGCTAACACACTAAACTAAGATGGTAAACATGATGAACGTTATACCTGCTAAACATCAACATGTTCATTGAGAGCATCTTGCATGCTAGCATTAGCATTTAGCGTAAAGCACTGACTTTAGTGTTTTGTTTTGTTCTTTGCAAAAGGTGCTCATACAAAAACTAGTGTCACTCATTCTCTATTTATATTCTCTATTTCTGACAAAATTCCCTAACCAACAGCAACTGAGATGCAACCATGGTGATCTCTGCTCTCACTCTTTCATTTCAGAAAGGCTGTGATCTCTGGGACTTTCCTATTTGTAGTTAAATGCCAACTCTACAGAATATGTAGACTAGATTTAGAAATCATTCTAGGAGGTTCAAATCTATTGTTTTTGATTGGGTGCTGGTGCTGATATCTTGACACAGTCATTCCCTCCAACAATAACAGGAAGACCAGTGATGTAATATCTTTTCATCCTGCTGTGACCCAACCAGCCAAGTCGGTTTCCTCCCTGCGTGTGTTTGACACACTCAGAAACTCAAGAGCTAAAGCCTACTCCCAACACGAGAGGAGACTACCTTTTCATTAGCAATTATAGTGTTTTCTCGAAAGTGGCAGCAGCTGAAAATAGAGAGCATGCAATGTTGCCTCTCTCTCTGACAGCTCCTGTGTGAAATCAGGACTACTACTGCCTGTGCCATTACATCTGCCAGCTGCTGACTGGTCCTATTCATGTCACAGCATGTGAATATGGATCAGTCCCCCTGCATCGAGGCTGAGGTCATGTCTGAATCACTGTCCCAGTGAATTACTAAGATCAGATGAGGCTGAATGCTGACATTTTACCAAGATGTAAGACTTTATTTTAGTCTCATTGTTTAAAAGCTTGTCTATCACTACAGCTAAGCCCCTTATAATTCTATAGAATGATTGGTGGGTTGGAATAGTGTGGGTTGTATTGTTTATCTGGTACAATCTTAGACTAATTTCATTAACTCTGCATGGTATAGCACTTCTGCACTGAGCAGATTGTGCATCAGTAAAGTAAAACTGCCCACAAGCATTTTAGTGAAGAACAAATTGCAGTTGAGGAAATGGACAAAAGTCTAATTCCTTATAACATAAAATGATCAATTGTGGATAATTGCTTAGATTCCACATAACAAGTGAAACCAGTCAGATTAATTCCTGAATAATCATTTTGCTCCACCAGATAATGTGTATTTATACATGGCACAGAGGAAATAGCTACGGTGTATTCTTTCTCTGCATTTGGTAGCATCCATTTCCTATGCAAGGCGCGTGCACTGTTACATTTTACCAGCGGCTATGCATTTGGTCTGAATATAAGACTGGGAATTTTTCAGTTGTAATCTAACATAACACTTTAAACTAGAAAGTATAGGGATTTAAAGTGAGTCTGTGCTTCTCAAGCCTGTATGGTTTTTTGTGCTCAAATCTGTATAAAATCTCCCAGTGGAGAGGAATGAAACAAATGCTAATTATGCAAAAAAAGTCATCCTGGAGGCATTATTACTACCATATTCATGAGGGCAGGGGATGTACAAATATATGTTTAACTCACTACAATTGCATATGCTAGTAAACACTAGCCTACCTGTGGTGCATCAGCAAAACTGGCTGGGCAATCCCATAACAACATATCATTAGCCTTTAATTGCAATTTGCCTGCACACTGTATTCCAACAAGTCCACAAAATACAACAACTGCGTCCTGTTCATATTCGTATGAGGGCACCACCAACCTGCCCGTCTGCACCTGCCCAATTCAAATACAAAAGTTGTCTCCTCTCTAACAAAGTAGATTTCCATACCAAAGCGCTTCACTAGCTCGGGCTTTTTGTTTACAGATGAAGAACAGAAACCGAGCTGTAACGGGATAATATTACCGAGGTCGTTACATAATATAGATGGGAATAAACGAAACGCAGCGGTGTAAAGTGTGGCCATTTGTCAAATAACTGATGGTGAATGAATGGATGTGCCCATGAAGACCCGAATAATTTAACAGAGGAAATAAGCCCACCATTCTGCAAAATGCACTCCGAGAACGGACAGGCTCCCTGGACGCTTTTATTTAGAATAGCGCGAGCTCACATTGTCTTAAAATAACGACTCCTTAAAACAAGCTGTAGGAAATGTGACTCGTTGTCAGTTCCTTGCTGAAGTTTTCAAAACGTGAAAAAACATTGTTAAGACAAGCACAAATTGCAAAGCTCCGAGCGCCTTACCTCGATCCAGAGAGAGCGGTTGGACCACTGTCGCCATGACTGCTGTTTACTGGAGACTGGAGAGACTACAGGATCTGCAGCATCACAGAGGAAGAGAGAGAGAGAGAGAGAGAGAGAGGTTGGGAGTGGCTGGAAAGGGGATTAATCAACCCTCATCTCTATGAAACATTATTAATTTATTGAACATTTTCTTGAAAAATGTAATTTGCAGTGGAAATGTTTCGCAGTTTTAATAAAGTTAACAGATGTTTGCCAGTTAGATTAAAATGATGTTAAAGGTGATGATATTGAGTTGAGTAGATGAGAATCAACTGCTATAAAATAAATAAATGATAAAAAGGCACAAATCTGCTCAGGATAGGACATAGCCAAAAGTATGTGGACACCCAAATGAGGATTGCGGACCTCCAAGCATCACAAAACCATATTCTGCTACCACTCTTCTGGTTTCAAGCGTCCCATAAGATTTTGGCACCTTGCTGCAGGAAATTTCTCCCATTAAGCCGCAAGAGCATTAGTGAGGTCGGTCACTGATGTTGGGTGATAGGGTCTGACTCAGTGGTTGCCTTTTTTCCACCTTGAACGACCTGGTTTACACCTGGCGGACTTGGACAAGGTTAAGGGAACTGGCAAAAAACATTTTATTATGGACCTCCCTTTGTGCAGGAGGGCTTAGAAACAGGAGAGGACCTGCCCCATACAAGGTACAAGGTAGATTTTATTTATCATTTCACAACAGTTGTGAGCTGTAAGTTGTATAATGTGATTAAGTTGAAGTTCCCTTTATGCTACTCACAAAAACAAACAAACAAACTAAAAATTTATATACAGTAGATGGGTCAATAAATAATCAATTTACACTGGTGCAGTGCTGAGGATTAACTGAGGAGTCTCGCAGCCTAGGGGAAGAAACGGCTCTTTAGTATAGTGGTATGACAGCAGATACTTCTGTATCTCTTGCCAGACGTCAGCAGAGTGAACAGGTTGTCGCTAGGTGGGTGCTATTTTTTAGTATCCTTTGGGCTCTGCAGCACCTAACCTCACTAATACCGCTGATGCGCGGTAGATGGGTACCAATGATCTTCTGAGGGGTTTTAATCACCCTCGTAATCATCCTCCTGTTGTGGGCTGTGAACATGCCATGCCAGTGTGTGTTGTTTCTAGTCAAGAGGCTTTCTATTGCTCCTCTGTAAAAGTTAACAAGAACTTGGCATGAGAATTTTATCTCCATAAGCAATATAGCCGTTTCTGAGTTCCCCTTACTCTATGATGTGGGATTAAGAGTTCCCTTAATTGGAATTAAGAGGCCTATAGCCCAACAAATGAAAAACAGTCCCAGACCAAAAGCACAAAAAAATATTTGGATATGGGGACCACATATTTTTAGCCACAGTGCATCTCATAAATCAGAGCAGCATTCAGGATAGTAGTTCTCTCTAAGTAACTAATGAACAGTAAATTATCACTGACTAAATAAAAAAGTCAGGCATCAGTCATTATTTTAAATACTCCTCCAATATGTGGCTTCACCATTCAGAGGTCAACCAGTGGTTTGCCTGCTGAATCTCTGAATCATGTACATGTGAGTTTCTGTGCTTGCATGAGTAACTACTTAGCCATGTACGATCCATTCATCCATTGCACTTCAGAGATCAGTTGATTTCAACCCTTGTCATTAAGGTTTATTGTGAGCCACGGAGCCATGCTACCCGTTATCTCGTCTCTTGGGTACACGCACTGCATGCAGCTTGATAAGGACTGAATGATGGTAGTGAACCTTTGTTGGAGGGCTTAAGGATTAATCCTCATGTTTATGTGCTACCACAGAACGGAGCCAAACCACTGACTCTCTTCATTTACTGTAGATCTGCTGCCTAATGGTGCCTGCTGCTGAGGCATATCTCATACACAGACATGTCATTCCACTTGACAGAAGCAGTGCTCAACAAAAACATGTAGCAAATCCTTAGTTAGGGGCAGAATGTTAAGGCAGCATGACGTGACACGTGGCTCACAAACCATGACTTAACTGTGACAAAAGCTGTAAACACGAATACACACCTGAGGTAAGCACCAGTATTTAGGCTTCATTTGAATTTGATTTCATTTTAATCTAATGTATCTTGCTTGTGTGAAAAAAATCAGTTGACTTCACTTCAAATTGGCTGCTATGGATGAAATTCAAGAATGAATTTTTTATTAATAATTTTAAAATGTAGTATCGATGTTCCGTTGCTGATTTCAGTTGGGTAAATTTTCATCATCTTTTAGCATTTCAGGGAATATTCTTTCTTCCTAATCTGCCCTGCTTTTGACTGAAACTGTAACTAAACCACACAGTCCATATGTACTGGTGAATTCCAGCCACCCACGGTCCCACCCAGCTGCATGCAGATGCTAACTGGTGGTGAGTGGTGGTGTGGAGAGGGTGAGGGCTTAGAGAGCGCACAGAAAGAGGGCACAGAGAGATTAAAGGCTCCCATCCATATGGGCTGGAATACAGTTCTGCTTTTTTAAGAGGTGGGATTACACTGCAGTTCTATTAAAGCCCTTTAACTGCAAGTGAATAGATTTCTGAAAGGTCTCCATTCCCACAGAAGGAGATGCAAGAGGCCTTGTAGACAGGACAAATACAGACAAGTGTGTTTGCCCTTCATAATCATAGTCATTGTCAGCGTTTTTTGGCCCCAACCCCTATTAGTACTTGTGCAAAATAAATTCACCAGGTAGTGTCATTAAGGGAATAAAACATTTTCAGAAATATGTTTATTTGCTTTCTTGCCGAGAGTAAGATGTAAAGATTGATAACCTTCTCTTGTGAGTACTGTACGTGTAAAGAAACATGTGATCTATATACAGTAGTTTGTCACACTGGGAAATAATAGAGGAAAATGTCCTGGTCTGTGTTAAGTTTTTTCCTGCATGATGTGACAGGCTGCTTTCTTAGAGCTGCTCTGCTCTTTATTACCAAGCTACCGCAGACAGCTGCTGACATGTAATGAAAGGAGATCATCATGTAAACATGTGGAAAGTATACTGACTGACATCTTAAAAACACTATTTGTTTTCTAACAAGGCAAGTTGACACAACAAGAAACAACTATGGGAAGTAGCTCCATGAGGATATTCTCTCACATCTTAAGACTTTTATTGTTTGCATCTGGAGCCACTTTAGGATTATTTGTCATGCTCAAGGGCACCTTGATGTTTACAAAATGGAGAACCTGCAACACTGATTTTCACATATGCTTTTGCCATGGGATTTTAATCTCTAAAACAACTTTCTTCTATTAGGATACTAATACCCCCTTCGGGGAAACAGCACCCATTCTCTTTGTCAAATGGAAATAATACAAAGACATAAAAGTAATGACATTGAATACTAGTTCACTTGGTGCACCCACCAGTTCCTGAGTGATGTAATCTCATTTCATTTGAGATAAAAACCTAATAGTGGTATATTGTCCGTCTTGTCACATTATTACACAGCATAAAATGAGAAAATGAATTGATGCAGCTCTGCTGCTGTTTTATTTGGCATATTAGGTGCTCATAGGCTGACAGTAAAAAATATTAAGACCTCGTTTTCTATTGAGCTTCAGCCCTTCCTACACATCTTAAATTTATATTGGATTAAAAATCTTTCTTGTCAACCTCTTTTTATCTTCTGCTGCTTTGACTGGCATTAAATAAGGGAATAATCAACAATGATAATGTCTTTAACCTGGACTTACATCACTAATATACGTTTAGGCAACTCTGGAGACAAATTCACTCTGCTGTAACAATCTGTATGGATTTATCCCATCTTCTCCTCTCTGCAAAGAAACACAATCTCTTGTTCTGGAAGAAGAATCATGTACCAACTTTTAAATGATGGATTACAACACTGACTGACACCCTCCAATTGGAGAGAATCCGACACATCCATAAAGACAGACTAGATGTTCTCCTCTATGGAAGGGACAGATGTTGATGATGACAATGCAATATGGTCTTCAGCACCTCTCGGCACTGCCAAGACAAGGATTTTTGGGAGAGTGGGGGTCAATACATTAGATCCACTACCAAACATATAAGCTCCATGGTGTGTACTTTTTCTTGTCAATTGATGAGTTTGTTTGTTTTGCCCTTTTCTTTCCATGTGTTGTGGTTCTTTGATTGTTAAATTCTGAAAAGAGGTGTCATATCCACTTATAGGAATTCTATTTTGTTGATATGCATGTGTTTCACAATAAAAACATATTTCTAATAATCTGAAATGATGTTTAAATTTTTTTAAACTATGAATAATGTTGACTAATCATTCACAAGTCTCTGTGCCAACTGCTGCGTCTAAAACCCATTCAAAATGTTAAACGGCAATCATTATCTTCAATCTAATTTGATTATAAATCCATCTTCAGACACTGTGTGGGAAAAAACACTACTTGCAGATTAATCATTTGTAGATAAACAGTAATTTGCCTCTAAATGTTTCTGAAGGGCAACTGACTGATTTTTGCATCAAAAGATTCACACTCATCACATAAAATCAGAGAAGAGGGCAAGATGGAGGAGCCATAATGAGCCATCTTGGACTCTGGTTTAGGTCTGATTAGCCTTTGCAAGCAGGCATTAGTATTGCTCTCTCTGTGCACGTCCGGTGCCGGAGAGTGTAAGAATGATACATATTCTGCCATGCTGCGCAAATATTTCACTATCTACAAATATGTATTTTACATTTGTGATGGGTATCCACAAAAATACAGAGTGACTTCTACACACAAAACACTTTTTGCACATTTGCAGATTGCTTTCTGTCAATTTGTGGGTCATGTTACATTTGTAACTTCCTTTTTACACATTTGTGGAATTTTGTCCAATGTGTACTGCGGAGATCTGTAAAAAAAAATATGCACAAATATCTCACTACCCAAAACATGTATTTTTACATTTGTGTTGTGTACAATCATATCCACAAAAATACAGTGCAATTAGCAAATATGTACAATTTACTCTGTACACACATACTTTAATTTCACATACAAAGTGTTATTTACACATTTGCGGATCTGTTTTTTACACACAAAACAGTTTTTGCACATTTGCGGATCATTTCCTGTCAATTTGCAGGTCATGTTACATTTGTGACTTCCTTTTTATGCATTTGCGCATCATAGTACACATTTGTGTTTTAAAATCTTCCATACATGCTCTGATGAAACGTGATGACATTTGAATCAGTATTAGGTAAAAAAACATGCCACAGGATAAGAATGGGATGTGATGGATTTAAGAAGACCTTCATCAATTATTCAGAATATGGAAAATGCACACATTGTGATATAATATAATGGCATCTTTTGTGTGTCACTTGGGGCAAAGCATTCACTGTTTTTTACCCTGCAAACCACTGTAAACCAACAACATTTAAATTTCATTTAAATCCACGTTTGCTGAGAAATGCAATGAACCTAGTAGTTGCGACATAATACAAAGGGTTTCCTGGAAATTGCATACTGCTTCTAGAACCATGCTCTGCATGTATAAATAGAAACAGATGACCTCAAGTATCAAATGGATGAGTTACTCAACCAGGGACACCCTCGTGCAAGGGTCACATCCACAGGGGTCAGCTGGACTATGTGTATTTACCAGCAGCTTGGATGATGACAGTGACGAAAGAAATGTATGCAACACCATGTGAGAGAACCCAGAGCTGCTGCGGCCCGTGTGGCGCGACAGGATTGTACAAGCTGCCGTTGTGATGAGACCAGAACATGTGACTCAGCTTAACAAGAGACTGAGGCATTTTGTTTTCAATTTGACTTCATACAACACACCTAATTATGCTTGCAAATATCCTCAAACAAGCCCTTAAATGCATTCCCTGATCAGTTTAAGCAGAGGTATTTGCATTCTAGGAGAAGGGTTTATTGATGCCACCCTGAGGACCCTGAATGTTTAATGCTGCTGCTAGTAAACAAAGATTAGTGATAAAAAGAGCCTCAATTAGTTCACAAGTAAATAGAAACAATTTCTACTTGTTGTGTATGAAAAAAGAGATGCCATAGGCTAAATAGCTATTATTATGTGGGGCTACAAACTATGATTTTGATTTCAGGTTTTATGCAGAACCAAAATTTAAATTTTATAGCATTTTTTTTATTTTACATTTAATTCTGTCCGTTATGTTTCTGTGCAATATTGCTGCATCCATGTACTCCTTGGATGTTCTCATTTCCAGAGAATCATTCTGATTTTTGTGCGTTCATGAGCTTTACATAATGTGGAAAAACAACATGGCCTGATGGCTGATGGGTTGTTATGTATGTGATGTTGCTATCCAAGTACTCTATTCAAAAACATTTGAAGCTTTATATTAGGGATTTTGTCCCAGATTTGTTGCTGCAGAAGTAGACTACATTACCTACAACCACTCAAATACTGCTTTACCTGACTTGTTATCGGGGTAAAGCTAATAATGCCTCTGACAGCAACTAAGAATTACAACCTAATACCATATTACAAATTACATATGAGCAAAAATGTATATGCACTGTCCGCCATGTTTCTACGTAATATGATGTCAACTCAGCAAGTCGTGTACCAACATTTTCAGAGACTTTCTGAGTTGGTGTTCCAACTTGAAGTGGCATTTATGTGAATTTTCCCATGTGTTGTCTAACATCTCTGACTGTGGCTCAAGACTCCTCCTGTATCATCTACATCCAGTATTCCTTGAGGGGGTGAGGATTACTGGCTGCGTTTTGTGCCCTCATTAACTTCCAGCTGGCACTTGCCCTCACTTGTCATCAAGTGTCCTTTTATTTGTCTGAAAAACTGAAATGAATTTGGTGAGATTGACCCTTGGAGGGCAAAGGCAGCAAGTTGACAACAATGGTCACTGGAGGTAAACATCAGCCACAATGCACTGCTGTTATGCTGGTTTAGGTGGGAGTAATGCAGGCTACATAAAACTTCTTCTAGTTAGCAGATAGTGTCTTAAATCATTGATAGCTTGATATTTTACTGAAAATGTCATAACTAATTGCAGTTACTATTTACTTATTGTTCAGAGTGTGATTTCAAAATGATCTGTAAACACATGGAAAAATTGCTGTTTTGCAAGATATCCTAAATAAGATCAAAAACAGAAACGATGCAGCTAATTACAAAGTGCCAAAATATTGCAGTTACAGGCTATATAGAAGACGCCTTTGCTGCAATGAAATGAGCCTGCAGATATTTTTGATGATTTGTATAAAGCAGAGTAGCCCTAAGCCTACAAATGGCGGTCTGTTGATCCATAATAGTTTGGATGGAAAGTACATGGGCAGGTGCTGCTACATTTAAATCCACCGCTCCTCCCCCGCTCACTGTCTCTCTGCTCTCCAAGTGGCCTCCATGCGACGTATGCTGTTACGTAATTCCAAGGATTTAGGGAGAGGAAGTGAAACTACTAATGAAACGCAGCATTGTTGGAGCCAGCAAAACATCGTGAAAAGGGGAAACGCGTGTAGCCCACCGATTATATACGGCCGTAATGCACTTCCACATTAAACACATAATGCGCCTGAACCACTGCGCCCCTCTTCAGCACAAGAGGACACTCGGGAAGAAACTGTTTACTGTTTCAGCTGCACAACAACGTGGCGTATCTGCAGCAGGTTCGCATACTCCTGCAGACTTTAACAAGTGTTATGCCCTGCAGTGCTGCAGGAACTATGTATCCGACACGGCGTATGCCCGAGCCTTCGCCACAGCGAGGGACAACCCGGAGGAATTCTGGGGTGTGGCGGGAAAGGATATTAACTGGTTTGAACCGTGGAGTAAAACTTTGCATGTTGAGGATCCAGTGTTTCCAAACTGGTAGGTGTCAATGTTACAAGCGAAAAACGGCAAGCAACATTTTCTTTTGCGCGCTTCCACATGCCAAGTGTATTTGTTAAACACTGTAAACAAGTTATTTGTAAAGGGGAAAATAAAATTAATTTATAACCCTGAAATCCCAAGAAACCAATGAATCACAATTCACCAATAAGCTCTTTGGACACCACACCTTAGTTGTTAACATATGCTTGGAGTTAAAGAGGACTATGTAGATTTTTATTTTACATACTCTAGTAGCCTCTGTATAAGATTCTAGATACTCTGTATTTCTGCAAAAGAATGCACTTAAAATGTTGGGAAATATAGTTCCTGAGTTCCTGTCTTACTCAGACTTGAATAAGATATATACCATCTCCTGCACAAAAACTTATTTAGTTGATAGGTTTTTGTTAATAAACAGTGAAATGAAATTACAATTTTATTTGTTTTGCTTGTTAGTAAAAAGAACATGTTAGCAATAACTGACAAGCTATAAGGATACCAAGAGTACCAGTATGTCGCTTTTTGTAAACAGTCTGGTCGCTTCCAGCTGCCATATTTGGCTTGGAGAGTGGAAAGTTTAGCTAACCAAAGCTTTGCAACATTGTGGTTTTTCTTCCATCTTAGTAAATAAAGTTTAAAATCTCTTTGAAATTTGTAAGTGAAAGAGCCTGCTGTGTTTTCAAAGTTTGTTTATCTTTGAGAAAATTATTGCTAACTGTTAGCTAATCAGCATATGCTAATGTAGCTAGCAATTATCTCTGTTTTTAGCTGTTAAACATTTGCACTCACCTGATGTTCTTGGGAACAAAATGCATGACAGCCAACCTACACCCATCTGCACTGAGAGTGACGTGAAAATGAATGTGTTTTTTATTATGTTTTTTTGGGTGACCTTTGCTACTGTCTAGCATGGTAGCAGAAGCCAGAGCTGCTTGAATCTGGTACTCTTATGTTAAAATGAAGGATACAGCCACCGTGTCTCTGTGGCTTCCAAAACAGCAGTTCCCAAACACCATCTGCTCAGCCTGCTTGCTGCTCTTTATCCATATGCACAGCACCGGAATGAGTTAAAACTGTTAACAAGTACATTGATTTGCTGTGTGCTGCTGGCAAACGCAACTGTCTTTGCTGCTGGAGTAAGTACATAGAAAGAATCATAACAGAGCAGAGCAGCGTGCTTTCAGGGTTGTGTTGATATATTTTATTGATCTAAATTGTATTATTATTTTTTTTGTAGTTAAATTATATTTAGAATATGTTTAAAAATGCACTCATTGGCCACTTTATTAGGTGCACCTGTTTAATTGCTTGTTAACACAAATATATAATCAGCCAATCACATGGCAGCACCTCCATGCATTTAGGCATGTTGATGTAGTCAAGACAACTTGCCAGAGGGGCTGGTCTGATTATTTCAGAAACTGCTGATCTACTGGGATTTTCACGCACAATCTCTAGGGTTTACAGAGAATGGTCCGAAAAATAGAAAATATTCAAAATAGTCAGTTGTGTGGATGAAAATGCCTTGTTGATGTCAGAGGAGAATGGGCAGACTGGTTCGAGAGGACAAATAGGAAACCGTAACTCTCATAACCACTTACAACTAAGATATGCAAAATACAATCTCTGAATGACTAACACGTTGAACCTTGGCTAGAGCAGCAGAAGACCACACCGGGTCCCACTCTGTCAGCTAAGAACAGGGAACTGAGGCTACAGTTCACACAGGCCCACCAAAATTGGACAATAGAAGATTGGAAAAATGTTGCCTCTCAATCCAGTTGAACACCTTTGGAACGTGATGGTGTTCGCATCATGGATGTGCAGCCAACAAATCTGCAGTAACTGCTTGATGCTTTCAGATCAATATGGACCAAAGTCTCTGAGGAATTTTCATCTTATTGAAAGTATGCCACGAGGAATTAAGGCAGTTCTGAAGGCAACGCGGTACTAGCAAGGTGTACCTAATAAAGTGGCCAGTGAGTGTATATATGTGATTTGATCTTTGAACATGTTGTTGCTTTTTGGTTGGTTGAATGTGTTTGTTGTTGTCAGGTTTGTTGGAGGGAAGTTGAACATGTGCTACAATGCTGTGGATCGTCATGTAGAGAGTGGCCGTGGAGAGCAGCCTGCCATCATTTATGACAGCCCAGTGACTGGAACAAAACAGATCATCACTTTCAGGGAACTTCAGGACCAGGTAAATGCTGTTTTTCAAGGCTGAAGTCACAGAACTGAACAGCATAAAGAACTGGATTAGACACTTTGTAAAGGCTGATCTGGACTGCCAGGACATGTGTTTTAAAAAATGGATTGTGAGGCATGCAAGCAGGGATTTGGTTGGATTTTGAGCACTGAAGTTAGAATTTGTCAGAGTTGCCATGACAATAAATACACTTTTCATCCTTGGACTTAAACAGTTGGCCAAATTTGTCCGCTGTGGCTGCTTGATTGAGTCAGCATTAGTACGAAGAAAAGCAAAACACAATAACTAAAAGAAAGGGGAAATAAATAATACATTTGATTGACATTTGGGTAGATGCTTCAGTTCAGTTGCATGTACTATAATCCAAATGTGTTCTAAATGAACAGAAGTGTTGCTATAGCTTTTTACTAGTCTGTGTCCCCAAAGTCATAAACGCCTAATTTAATTCATGAAAATATATCAGGATTTTAAATGTGTCAGATTATGTCTAATTGAAGGCAATGGACTTGCACAAAATAGATAGAAAAATCCAAGATGCATGTCACTGTTTATGTTGATTATAGTAGTCATGAACAATTATCTAAAATGGGTTTATGCAGACATTTGAAAGAGTGCAGTGTGAACTTAGCCTAAATGCATGTTGATGTTCAGTATTCGCTATTGTCTCCCCTGTATCTTGATCCAGGTGTCCAGGCTAGCAGGAGTCCTAGTGAAGAATGGGGTACGGAAAGGAGATCTGGTAGTCATCTACATGCCCATGGTGCCTCAGGCCATGTTCACCATGTTGGCTTGTGCAAGGATCGGTGCCCCACACAGCCTCATCTTTGGAGGCTTCGCTTCCAAAGAGCTTTCTGTCCGTATCAATCATGCCAAGGTTAGAAAATCTTGTTATTCACCTTGTTGTTAAAAATTTTATAACGACAGTCTGATGTTATGACTCTTTGTTATTTTTATGTTGTTTTTAATATGGCTGCAGCTAATAATTTTCCAGTTTTCATGTGGCATTAGTAATGTGCAACATTGTCCCTGCAAAATATCTCAAACACTGAAAGCCAGTGGTGCCTGAGGCTTCTTTGTGTCACTAAGCTCAAAAAGAATCCTTCATAGTGGAAAACATTTGACTTGCTGCCCACATGAATGATGTTAACGCCATGGGCAGGGCAAGGCAAGTTTATTTGTATAGCACATTTCAGCAACAAGGCAATTCAAAGTGTTTTACATAAAATATAAAAGCAACAAAGGGAAATTTAAAAAATAAAACACATTATAAAAACACTGAATATTTTTTAACAGTGCAACAGAAGAATTAATGGACCAACCTGATATTTTGACAGGAATTTTGCTAAAGATAAGGATCTCTGTTGAGTGATGTGTTTATTGGAAAATGATCTGAACAAATACAGTTTTGTTGAAGTATTGACATCAGCTACTTGAACAAGTGTTTAAACTATTTTTGTTGAGGTAAAGGGGACAGCTAATGTTGAAGTATTGTTGACTCAGATGAATAGCTGATAGGATCTAGATACAGAATGAACAAGGCCACTGTTTTCAAAGAAATTAATCAGTCTCTGCAATTCAGCAGTAAAGAAGAGAAGAGGCAAGTGAATAATCCTTGTTGAGCATCCCTGTAGAAATTGCAGTGTCTTTTAATGTCCACAAGAGGAAAATATGCTGACCACGATCAGAAAAATTTGTACCGTATGAGAATCAAACTTTGAAATAAAAAAGTTACTGGAAATACTACTGCCTCTGTAGGAACAACTCAGGTGCACTGTAAGACTGCTATTTGCTATGGAATCATTATGACATGCATGCTAACAAGGCTTATGTGAGCTGAATTTGACTTGACATTGGATTGCTGCCACAGGCAACAGACTCATACCACTAACACCCTGTTAAAAATGCAGGCAAACAAATATAAGTCTGGAGCACTAGCTGCTGTTTCTAATAAGATCTTTAGAAACATGTCATAATGTTACACGTTCTTGACATTTTAACTCTATATGCACATATTCACACCTGATCTCTGTATTTCTTAGCCCAAGCTGATGGTTACAGCCTCATTTGGAATTGAGCCAGGCAGAAGAGTAGAGTACATCCCTCTGGTGGAGAAGGCCTTGGAGCTGAGCTCTCACAGGCCCTCTAAAGTCCTCATCTACAACAGGCCTAACATGGTAAGAAGCACAAAGTATCAGAAAGCTTAATTTGACAATATGGTGTTGTTTGTAAAGCTTCTGGTCATGTGACAGAATGTAGCTGTATCTGAAATATGGTAGCCATATGTAAGTTTACTCACAGTATAGCAGCTGTTGGAAGAAAATGTTTTCGCAATGCTAGGAGTTGCAGTTTTGAACCTATAAAGCATTCTATTTTAAAGGTGGGGTAAGCAGTTAGCAAATACACGTCTCCTTATCAAATTCAGTGAATAGCTCAGCTTCTCGGGGTCCAATAACTGTCACAAAATCTGGTGTTTGTGCACAGCTCTGGCTCTGTAAATGGGAAACCAACAAAGTGGTCCGTACCCTACCACGCAATACTGTTCCAGACGTTCCAGCTATGATTTGTGTCTGGTAACGTTAAATGACTTGCCCATGGACATTTAGCTTATTTTCCAGTATGCCAAGACATTCTATTGTTGTGATGTTAGCCGTAGTAGCAGGAGAGTTGTATCACATCACTGTCTGGAGCTGGTGCGCTGGGTCTGGGACAGTCTCGTCCTCTCTGCATGTTAGCTTCACAGCAGCAACTTTATTGACAGTTTCATAACCCACAACTTAGCTAACATTAGCTACAATACATGCTGTGTTGTTGTTTGCTTTATATTATGGTATTTGTTGTGGAATTGGAATTTATCCAAAATCGCTTACCCCATCTTTAAATGGTTATTGCTTAGAATTGGCCAAATGTGTATGCATGGTAAGACAGTGTTACACATCTGCCACTGAAATGATGTATAGCTGGTTCAAGTAAGTGAGAGTGGGGAAAAAAAATATGCAGCATATTTGCAGCTAAAGGATGGAGTTAGCTGCCTGTCATAAGCAACCTGGCATATATCCAGTTTGGAAGCAGGCTGTGCTGTGTAGAATGATTATACAGCACACAAATATGCATTAATATGGAGACAGCAAGCTGACATTTGCTTCACTTTCACACAGGCATAAACTAAATTTTGAGGTTGGGGGAAATTATTCTTAAAAACTGATTGCACAGCGCTGTAGTCTCTCATATGAAATTTGTTTTCTGTTATCAGTTATGCCATGTACCTCTGTTCAGCTTTCTTGTGTTTATAAATGAACATTACATGATTTATCATTCCCCATTTATCATCTGCCTATGATCTATCTATTGAATGATCTAGTGAACTATGAGATGAGATTTTTTGGGAGATTTACATGGTAGACTGGACATATGTCTGTTATCAACAAACTAAGATTTTTACAGAAAATTCACAGGAAACTCATCCCATTAAAATCTTGGAAGATGGTTGCATGTGCTTTATCAATTGCTGCATTCAGTAATTAAGATGTTGTGGTTCTGTGAACATGGCTTCCAACATGAACGCCTCGTTAAATCGACCAAGTTTTACTCTGGTTTGGCTTTGAGTAAAGTGAGTAAAAAGCAATGCGTTTCAGAAAGCTGGAGTATTATGGGCTGTCTGTCCTCTGCCTGAAGAGTCTGTGTGATATTGAATGAGGTCTTAGTCTTGAGTCCATTCTCTGAGAACCAAAGGAAAATATGACCAGGACTTGTCTCTAGCCTCCTGGGATGATTTAAATGTTAATGATATTAAGGTATCAAAGAGATTCATGAAAATCTCAAATGAGGCAGATGTCCGCAACTGAAGATGTGAGAGGCATTAATCTATGACGCGATCAAACAAGTAGAGGTGAGTTTGAGTGTCTTTTTCCCCTAAAATGAAAGAAAACACAATCTAACACATGTGAGTCAATGGTATTGATCTATACCTCGTATGAACACCCAGAGATTTATTATGGCAATTTTGCATTATAGAGCAGCCACAGTCTTTACCACTTTTAATAGTTCCCTTTCATATCAGATAGAAAATAAGTAGATGGTTTTTCTTTGTGTTTTAGGTGAAAGTATCAATGAATCCGGAGTTGAGTCTAGACTGGGAGGAAGAGATGGCCACAGCTGAGCCGCATGACTGTGTTTCTGTTCCCTCGAACCACCCTCTCTACATCCTCTATACATCTGGCACCACTGGAACACCAAAGGTACTGACTTGACGGGGTTTTGGTCAGCAGCAGGGTGAAATGTACATTTAAATAAATATCTGATTCATAGAGTTATAGATGTCATATAAACAAGTTATAGAATGTACTGGGGTTTTTTAGTTATATATTTTTTTTCCCTTAAAGCTGTCGGTTTTGTATAGAGTTTCTGTGTGACTCATCTGCTCTCTGACTCTGCAAAATAATCCTGGCCCAATCTAAACACCATCAGCGTGACATAAATAAGGTAGAACATTTTCACCCCAGGAGCTGGAGCTCATGCAGGAGGAATTGCCTGCAGGCAGTTTCAAATGGAAAAACCCCAGCACCTTTCAAATAGCGTCATTTTGTCTTTGACCAACAGATGATATAAAATATCCACCTGCTGGCTAGTTCCTGAGCTTAATAGTGCTGTTATTGCCTGCTTCTTTCTCTGTGAGTTACTGTGACTCTCAGTTATGTTTCTGTATGGAAGCATAACTTTGAGAAAGACATGATGACTTGAAAACAGTATTTTGCTAAAATCAAATAAAACCATTAACTAACACTTAGGAATTGGAATTTGTTTGTAAAGCAGTAATTTGAAAACAAATACCCTCTCCTTCAGAATAGCAGTACAGAGCGACTGTGTCCAGATTGATATTAAACCCCTGCCTCTTTGTCTAGTGTAATACCTGTCACTAGTCTGATCTCTTTCCTATCTTGTCCCCCAGGGTGTAGTGCGAGACACTGCAGGCTATGCTGTGATGCTGAAATGGACCATGTCAAATATTTATGGACTCAGTCCTGGAGATGTAAGGCAGTAAAGCATCCTCTTCTGAGTTAGAGCCATGGTTATGAACAAAGAGCATGCAGTCAGCACAGAGATATGATTGTTCTGCACTTGACAGATGATTTGATCACCACATAATATTTATGCTTACTGAACAGTTATACGGTTTTCATTTACATGTATCATTTATATAACATAAGCTATTTGATTTACATTTATAGTGCCTTCATGTACCATAGGTCTTAGTGAACTCTCTCCAAGTATTATGCAACACTCAAACAATAAATAACCAAATAAAATCTTAAACACTTATACAGGGACTCTATAAACTTTTCAACTTTTTTAACCTGTTGCAGGTTTGGTGGGCAGCGTCAGACCTGGGCTGGGTGGTCGGCCATTCATATATCTGCTATGGTCCTCTGCTCCATGGTAACAGCACAATTCTCTATGAGGTATGTTGTACAACTTGTACAAAATGTCTGTAATTTGCATTAGTGGGCTCTGTAAGCAGAATATATCCATATTTGGTTAGTGACTCCAGTTTATGTGGACTGTTGCTATGTTTGACTCTGGCTGCTCCACTTCACTGTCAAGAGACAGACTGCAGCTCTATTTCCAGTCTTTCAGTCCTTTTCTTTTTTTCTTTACTAAAGCCAGTCAATGTGACACCTACACATTAACTTTGACTTAGAACTTAAACAGACTTTGTCATTCAACTGCACATTCACAATGTACATTTGAGCGAGATTTCGTTGCAAGAAGGCTCCGAATAAAAAAAAAAAAAGTAAAAGAAAATCAGTGAAACGGACAATATGATGCATGTAGTAACAGTTACTCAGTTTCCATGTAAAGTGACATGCAGTTTATTCCCTCCTACACTGGTATTAAAGAGAAATTTGGGCTTGCAGAATACACTTGGTGAATTAATTTAATGTTTCAAAAGTAACTGCTCAAAGATTAATGGTAAAAGAATAAACAACCATGAATGTGCGTTTTGAACACTTGATATTGATGCATCCGATTATTTCAGGTAATTTTGCTTTGTGCGTTGACAACCCATGTAGTGGAGTACATTCTCTATGCAGGCTGCTTATTAGCATGTACATTACATTACATTTCTAGACCAGTGCTAAAAGCGACGTGGGTATTTCTATTGATCTTCCCACGTGCATCTTACAGTGTATTTCTTATGTCGAGGGCCACTCATTGCATTAGCACTCTGATTTTCTCTTGCCCTTAGGAAGCAGCACTACTGAGCAATGAATTAATGTGCCTTTTTTAAATAACGGTTTGACTCCAGCCTCACTGGTTGTCTCATGTGGCTCATGCTCTAGCAGCCCGGTTATCTTCAGACATGATGATGCCGACCTTTTCTTTCCTCTGATCAATACACAGACACAAATATTTATCCAGAGAAGAAATGACTGCCCAAACTCACTGCTGTTGTTTACCATTCTCATTCTTTTGAGATGTGTTTTCACTGTAGGGACATGCTAGTTGAATACCTGAAACACTATGGAAATTGCTCTTGGAAGCATGTGCCTACAGGCTTCTTTTGTCTATATCTTTATTTTTTTTAGACAAACAATACGCCTATAGTGCAACTGTTTTCTCTAATCCATGGATTTCTGGGCCCATCTGTCTGGACAGCAGTCTCCAGTGTGCCTCTCCATCTTAAACAGCTGCTCTATGAATATTCATGATTTGTAGTTAGTGGTTGAAGTGAATTTGTACTGTAGAACATTGTAGAAATATTGCTGTAATCGTTTTGAGCTTCTATGTATTTGCTATTTGCTCTGTAGGCAGTCCATCATATGACACATGATATGCCAGCATCCGTGTTACAGTTTGTGAACTACCCAGCTGTTGCCATACTCCCTCTTTACAGGGTAAGCCTGTGGGAACTCCAGACCCTGGGGCGTTCTTCCGTGTCCTGTCTGAAAACGGAGCCTCCTCCATGTTCACAGCACCCACCGCCATTCGAGCTATTCGCCAGCAGGACCCCCATGCTGAAATTGGGAAAAAATACCCCCTGTCCAGGTAGACGGCAACAGTTTCCCTAGAACCAAGACTAACGAACTATTAATAGTGGAAGGAATACCTTTTATGTTGTAACATGAAGGTTAGTCATGTTACAACAGAAGATTACTAAATCGAATTCCAGCATCTCAAAGTTGAAGCATTGTAAATTGCAAAACAACTTTGGAGATGTTACCACAGGCTATGGAAACTTGTGATGGCTGTTGTTCATTTCTTGTGACATTTTATAGACTAAATGATTTGATATTAAAATAATTGTTAGTTTCAATTACTATGAATTACTTAAAATGATCAATTACTGTACCAGTAAGTATGTTGAAAATCTCAAAATGTAACAGAAACCTGCAAAAATTTTCAGGCTATTCAGAAACAAAGAGACATGATTTTTTTTTTTAAGCATGTACGGTGAATATTTTTTTGAAAGAATAATCCTTTTAATTCTCTTGACAATTGACTGATGTGATATAGCATCTGGTGCTTCTTAGAAACTTAATGTGAGAACTGTGAAGGGAACCGGTACAGGCTTTGACTCTCAACTGCAGAAGTGAAATGCCAGAAGTGATGTGTTAAAGCATCTCATGGCTACACAGCCTATCCAGCCTCTCGTTAGTCTCTGACCATCTGTTGATGCAGGGCCCTTTCCACCTCCATTGCTCACAGTCTGTACCCTCAGTCTGACCTGCTTGGGTGTTAATCAGGATGGATTATAAACAACGGCAGGACGCAGCAGCCCACCTGTATTAAATCATACCACATGAACTCGTTTCCCCGCTGCGGTCTCACTGTTTAGGTAAAGGTTGTCTGTAGCTCAGTTAAAAACAAACATTTTTCATGGTATTAGTTTGGCCCAGAGACTTAAGTGCTTGCTGAGATTATCACAATTGTTAATTATTTAGTGCAGTGCAGAGAAACTCGGACCTAAGGGGTTGCGGTGTCAATTCAACACTTTCATTCTGAGCAGCAGTCTGAAAATGCCTCTAAGCACACAATCATAAAGCAATTCTGAGTGTTGGATGACTTATGGCCCCAGTGAGTCATTCAGTAACTCTGGCGTTGTGTGCTGAATTAGACGATCTTTGGTTGTTCGCTGTGCTGAATGCACAGCATCTTTTTAAATGCATTGCTTGCAGACGTGGATTATTTTCTACAATATTTATGGCTCAAAGATTGGTGGCATTTATCCTCAGAGTTTCAACCTTGCAACAGTCAGTCATTAAAGCGACATGCTGTTTCTGTACACTTTTTTTTGTTAATGTGTCTTTTGCCCTTGGAGGAGGCAGGTTGGTGAAAGATTACTGCATTTCCCTTCAGTGTTGAGAAAAACATGTCACAGTGACACAGGGGCAGCAATACAAAGGAAGCAATGAGACATGAATTCATCTTAGTACAGCCAGGGCGGTTTAATGTCTGGTTGAGCCTTTCACTTGCTGATGTTATGTATTTTCAATTTTACCATTACAGAAAGAGGTTCTATTCGAATAAAATGTGGCATTTTATAACCCAGAGTCTAATATTCTCATGTAATTTAAAAGGTTTTCATATATTGAGTGTAGTGGAGCAGTTAATGACAATTCTTGTGTCAGTTCTTGTCTCTGTCTTGAATGTTTAATTTGTTACATGAATCAAAGGAAGGCATGAAGTATCAGGATAATACAGTCTGAGGTCTTACTTACTAATTTTCTTGGTCATGGTAACTCCACCTTGCATTAACTCTGTGGATTGCATTCAATTCAGCAGGCCAGACTGACTTCTCTAGGCTGTGTGGTGTAGATGCACATGGCACAAAAGTAATGTGCATTGAAGCATAGTGTTTGTGAAAATTTTTCTTAAATAGTGTGCTGCAGGGATGACAAATTTCTTACAGGCTAGCCCGGAAGTTAGCATTGCCTTGGTTCCCTTCGACAAACTTTTGCAATTTGGATTACTGCAGAAAATAAGCTAACATTTATGATACCTACACATATTGTTGAGCAAGGCACTCTTCCACTTTAGATTTTTGAAGGGTAAATGCAATAACCAGAAGTTTAAAGCTAATGTTAAGCTGTAAACATACTACACCGCGGTCGTGTTACTTTGACGTCACTAAGCTTCCAATTTGTAATTAGATTTTTCGCTGTTTGGCGTGATGACATATAATGTCCCCGACAACCTCTATTGTACATTTAGCCATTTCTTAGCAACTTACATATATTATGTCATAGAACAAAATGTGAAAATCTCTTAAGCTTGTGTTACATATAACATATATTAGTCATCTAGCTAAAAACCCCAGTGCAAAAATGCCAGCTCATTCCTGCAGCACTATATGGATTTAATGTAGTCTATACATTTTGCCGCTTCCTGTAACACGCGGAAGGATACGTCAATACTAATAGTGCTGGTTTTTAATTAAAAGTGTGTTGATGGAAGTAGTTAAACCTTTCAGAAAACTCTGTTAGCTTTATTATCAAACACATAATTTCATGCTAGAGAGGCCTCAAACGATAATTTGATATAGTTCAAATACCCTGTCTGCAGTTTATTGACACATTTACTCCCTTTAGAGCCCGCCAACTGTAATAGCCCTGGACCCTTATCAGTGTGCTTGAGCAATATTACTTGTCACTATGGATGTGAAAACTACATTGAAAGTCTGGCTGCAGGACTGTCTACAGTTCTGATGGCAGCAGTGCTCTGCATAATGTAGCATGACAAAAGGGGCAGGCACTCTGTCAATAGTGTTTTAAAGCCAGGAGAACCAACTCAATGCTGAGAGTCTCACTCATAAACAGGTGACATGACTCCAGTTGATAGTGTTTTGGTGCACTTTAAAAGCTGGTGCTGTTAAAGGTAGTAATGTTTGCACCTGCTTTGCTTTTACTTAAAAATAGCCTCTTGAGAATATGCCAGGTTAGTCTCTAGTCAGCTTGTGCCACGATGCATTTCCATATTGCACAGTTGCAGCAACTAAACACTAACATACACAACAGGTCATACACACATACATTCTGGGTTCCTGCACTAGTTTTGGAGATCTTTGTGGAAAATATCACTGCTCCCTCCTTCAGCTATATTCTACTTGGCTTAATTCAGTGTGTATCACACAAAAGTTAAATAGCTGGGATTCCCTGCCAGTCTTAAAACTGAAGAAGCCTCTTAAATGAGAGGTGAGGCAACTTCCAGTATCCTCACTTTATCTTTAACCTTCCTTGGACAGACACAAACAACTCCTCTTTCTCTGTGTTTACAATTTCACTCTCCTCCATGTTTTCTTGTCACTCTCTTGGCAAACCTTTTTAGAGGTGCATTACGGCCACCGACTTTTGCTCTCACGTCACTTGAGGTGGTAAGCAGTCCTGCTGCCGAAATCTTGTGAGACAGCTGGTTTTGTGAGATCAAGGGAGAATCGCGATATCATTAGGGAATACAGCGACATTATATGCTAGACATATTAGAGACATTATATACAGGCACTAAGGCATAGCTCCGTGGTGGAAATGGTTTTGCCAAATCTCTACTGGTGGACACATTTCTACCTTCCAGATGTATGCTGTCATATAATAATAATAATAATAATCCTTATTTGTAGAGCACTTTTCAAAAACAAGTTACAAAGTGCTTTAACAAGTGTAAATATCACCCAACCCTTTACCTTACCTTCACCAGTAACTTCGAATGGATGCCAAATTAGACTTAAGAGGTGGTACATTTGTTGTTTTAAGTGTGGAACAATTAAGTCTTGTGCATGTGAAGACATTTATTTTGAAATGGATGTAGCTTGACATTGACATTCAGTGGACACAATGTTAGGCAGTGAAATCAATATCTAAGATGGAAGGAGGCATTTTCATTTGAACAAGGTTGGGAACAACAAACAAGCTGCTGAGACGTGAAAAAATAAAAATCTTGTTTTGTGCCATGTAGGTTTGAAATAACTTGCTCATCACCATCGTTAAACTTTAATGTGTTGTCCTTGATGTCCTTGAAAGAATTTAGAAAGGGAAGGAAAGATTTTCTTAAGATCTCTTTTCTTTCTGAAAACAGAACACGGATGTTTACACTGATTCTTACTGATTCAGTGCTCAGTCCTTTAGCTTTGGGCAGCATCCAAACCATCGCCCTCCCTCAGCCAGTTCTGAGGTCAGTGTCTGCGTGAATATTCCAAACTTGTACTTCCGTTGTGCTCCTAGGAAAACTTAAACCCCCCCAGAGAATTCAAATTGTCCTTGGATAGCTGGAAGCATGGTAGTGGAAGTGTAATGCGGTTTAGCTAGAACATAAAGTCACTGTCAGGTCAGTAAGTCAATCATTATGGTCCTTGACGTAATTCTTTCATTTTTGATACATTCTAGGCATTTGCTGAAAGCTGTTTATCCCTAAAGCTGTTATAAGTCAGATTGATCAGCATTAATACAATGTTGGAGCTATATTGTCATATAAGTAGTACCCCTGGGTTTCAAAAGCACAAAGTAGTAATGCATACAAAATTGCTGTAAGAAAATGTATCAATAAGAAGCAGCCATTTATAGCTATCAATTTAAATTGTGTTGATTTTGGTGGTCAGCTAATGTTCAAATAAGTAATCAGTTATGAATAATTTTGTCTATAAAATGATGTCTGATAAAAAAAATAACACATTACAAGGCTTAAGGTTTAAGGTAATTTAACAGGGTTGAAAAAAGAAAATACAGTCAATATACAATACAACAATCATAACAAGGTAAACAGAAATAAACATATTGCAGTGCTGAGGATGAATTGATTAAGAATGTAAGAGTCTTATGAACTGGGGAAGAAGCTGCTCTGCAGTCTGGTGGTGTGACAGCAGATACTTCTATATGTCTTTCCAGATGGCAGCAGGGTGAATAGGCTGTGGCTGGGTGGGTGCTGTCCTCTAGTATCCTTTGGGCTCTGCGTAGGCACCTCACCGATATCACTTATTCTGAGCAATTTTAATCTCTCGCTGCAGAGCTGTCCTGGGCCATGCACGTCCCATGCCAGTTAGTGTGCTTTCAGTTGCTCCTCTGTTAAAGTTGACAAGATCTTGACACGAGAATTTAGCCTTCTTAAGTTTCCTTGAAGAAATACAGCCAAATTTGGGCTTCCTTAACCAGTGTGTTACCATAGCAATGTTAGCTTCAGTATAATAACAGATAGATAAAATGTTATCAATGTTAACCACAATTACCTGCCATCTTTATGAAATCACAATATATTTAGCCAAGCCACACTCATCAAACAAAGAGGAAAACTGGACATAAAAAGAAAAGTCTAATCATAACCAAACTACAGGTACCAATTTCCCCCATTACTGTAGGGGAATAGAGTTCTTTGAAACTGAACTGACTGAAGGGATTCAGGCATCCTTCGTTGCCTGCGTGGTGATGAACAACAGCAGAATATTCTTGATGTTCTGCTCACTAAAGTGAATTTTACTATTTTTGGCAGTGTATCCCATGTTTCACAATCAGTATCACTAACAACCAGAGAAACCAGACTGCATAATATTCCTCAGACGAAAGAACAATATTATGGGAGAATAGTGTTTGAAAAAGAGAATGAAATATTACCCAAGGAGATAGCAGGATGAGAAAAGCTATGATTCACTGGGGGGAGAGGGACTTGATGAAAATGTTTTTGCCTGTTACAGAAGATAGAATGTGACTTCAAGTTTGATTGGAGTTGGAAGGTCATTTCGCTATTGCAGAGGGTTGAGACCGATGAGTGATGACCAGCAGTCATTTGTGGGGAAAATGTAGTGATCAGAGTAGCATCAATGTCTGCAGTTTGTCCTGGACTTATAGGGGGTTACAGATCTCTCTGCAGCCTTGTAGCGAGCAACCAGCAGTGTTGTGAATTGGATATGAGCAGCCATGGGCAGCCATCAGAGGGAGTTTGGGAGACAATGATGTGGGAGAAATCAGGGAGGCTGACTATAGAAACTGCAGTGTTTTTGGGTCACATGTAGGGCATGGAGGGAGGCTTTTATGAAGCCAAGGAGTGGAAGTTGTCCAAACTAGGAGAAAATTTACCTTGAACAAGGAGGGACTAGTAAGAGAGGATCAACTTTGACAGATTCCGATGTCCTTGCAAGAGTTTGTCTCCAGGTACTTTGTGATTCAGGATCTCATCAGTACTACCGACTGAGAGGTCATTTAGCTTTCCCTGGGGAAAAAGAGCAGCTTAGTCTTACAAAGTTTCAGATAGAAGGAAACCGTGTGATTTAGGCTTTTCTGCCTTGACATTTAACGCAAGAGGCTAAAGACAGAACTCTTAGAGTCCAATGGCGGTAATGTTTAACACAAACAAGAATTCACCTCTGCTGTCCGGATAAGTGTGGCTGTAAGGCGGCAAAGCATTATAGGCAGGATGAAGTCCCTTAGTCAGCATAAGTGGCGAGAACGATCTGCTTGCAGTTTAAGAGGCAGTGGAAAGGATGCCTCGGTCACAGCTAGGAGCACAGGGAAGGTGAAGTGGAGGGTGCTAACTGTGGCCAAAAAACATTTTCCTTTTAAGAGGGATTGCATGAGCTCAAAGTCCCATTCAGGAGAAGTTGTCAGCCATAGTTGTTAGTAGGTCTCGAGGTTGGATTCCACCTGGGTGATTGCGGCCCTTCTAGAGAGTGTTTGATTCCACCAGAGAAGCGCAACGTTCAAGCAAAAATCTGAGCAATTTAACAAAATCAGGCTGCCAAAACGCTCTACTTTTGAAACACTCCCTGTGGGGTATATGAAGGCGTGCAGAGGACGAAACAAAAGACGTGATGCAGATGTGATGTTCTAGAGCCATGCCTGGTGGAATCCAGGGGTCAGTTTTTTTTTTTGTTTTTTTTTACTATTGATATGACCCAGTTTTCGGTTGTTTTCATCTTGCAAAGCAATTAATGCGAAGAGATAAATCAAAAATGCTAGAAAATTTTAGACAAATTCTCTCAAGTACTGCATTTCTGTTCATTTGAAAATAAAAGGCTGTGTGTCCCATTTTTGTCTGTACAATACATATTTACATTCAAATAGGCAGGTATGAGCCATGTGTACAACCTTTGCATAGATGTTGTGTTATCCTGACCATTCCTGTGAGGGAGTAGATATGTCATGTTTCATCAAGGTGATTGACAGATGTACTCTGTGTCCTTGCAGGTTGCGGTATTTATTCGTGGCAGGAGAGCGTTGTGATGTGGAGACGCTGGAATGGGCAAAGAGGGGCTTTGGGGTTCCTGTCCTGGATCACTGGTGGCAGACTGGTAGGAAGGTTTCTGCTTTCTAAGGACAGAAATCAGTGAGAGATCTAGAACCATGATTTACCTTGTTGATGAACTGTATTTAAAGCTACATTAGGAAAGAGATTGATACCCTGTCTTATCTGATTCCCTATATTTTCCCTTTTAGCCCAAAGTTGCAAGTTTGAGAGGGAGTAGCAAATTGAAATTTAAACGAAATGCAAACTGACTCCTAGATATCCGTGACTGAGCTGTGCAGTGAAGGCTGGACTCGCCAACATCATGTTCTGTTCGCCTGCCTCTTCTGTATAAGCATCACATAATGGCTAGGCCAACATACAGAGTGTGCAGGTCATGGATTTAATGGATTTCTGGTGGTTGAAGTTAAAATTGTTCCAACATTTATCTCCTACCACATGCAATGTGAGAAGCTCCCTTGTGCAGTTTTAATTATGTCAGTTTAGTAAGTTGAGAAGCACTTTACCCCCAAACTTTAGGGATTACGTTCTTATGATATAGATACTGAGAAAGCATTTCAAGGACCTCAAGTACTTTATTAGCATGAACTGTATATAATGATTTAATTTCACTTGATCTTTAAGACTCCGTCTCGGCAAAAGCTTATCAGTGTGAGAAGACTATAAATGTGGTCTGTATTTTATTAGTCCATTAACACTAACTTGGCCTTGAGAAAAGGCATAACTCTCTATTCCCCCGAAGCCTGTTATAAAAAACATTTTATCATACTTTCCTCTTTGATTAATCCCTTCTATTGTTTTATATTGTAGTATTTGTATTTGTTTATATTGACCAGAGGATGTGAGCCCTTCTCCTGGAGTAATTATGACAATTACTTGCAATCAAAATTAAATTAGCCATTGTTTCGTCTGCACATCACTGTAGTCATTATTGAGAAAACAACAAAATACATCATTCCTTTTACTTGAAACACATAGTCAACATTTACCAATTCTAAAAGCATCTACCAAGTCAAAAGCTGACTTCTTTTGTGTATATGGAACCAATACGGCTGATTTCCCTTTTTTGCTACTTCCTGTCGATGTAATGGGTATTGCCACTTACAGTTTTCTCGATTGCTCAGGCACACTTCTTGAAATGATGCCTCTTTTTCTCGAAACTCTAAACACAAATCCACAACTTCTCACCCAATTCCCCAAACATCCTATTTTCAGGTGAAAATGAAGCTTTCCATTCAAAACCATTCAATCTTGCTGAAAAACCAAACTTTACCCTCAGCCAGCTTTCGTAGAGCGGGTTGCCCGTTAATTGTAAGGTCGGCGGTTCAATCCCCGGCTCCTCCAGACTGCATGTCGAAGTATCCTTGGGCAAGATGCTGAACCCCGAATTGCTCCTGGTGGCTGTTCCACCAGTGTATGAATGTGTGTGATTGGTGAATGTGATATAGTGTTAAAGCGGTGGTCGCAAAGAATAGAAAGGTGCTATACAAACACGGAGTATTTACACGACACTACAACACAATCTTACACACAGAGATAAATTCAAAACAATACTACAAAAACTGGTTATAAGTAATGTTGCTTGTGGTTCTCCTCCCTTTTTTTTTCACATACTGAACACAACAAAAGGAATAACAAATGTAAACATTTGCACATTTTTTTTATTCCTTAGTGTACTGTACAGTACAACACACCAAAAAACAAATTATTCTGCCCCAGCGCCCTGTCTTTGGTTTGGGACAGGCCAGAGATTCTTGTTCTCCACCTCCTCCCTCCTCCACCCTCCTCTTGCCTAATCCTCCTCCCTCTACCTCTTCCACCTCCTCCACCCTCCTCTTGCCTAATCATCCTCCCTCTACCTCTTCCACCTTCTTCTCTACCTCCTCCTCTTCCCTCCTCCTCCACCCTACTCCTACCACGCCTCCTCCACTTCCTCATCTTCCTCCCATCCCATATTAAGGGGTTTGTGTGTAGAGTTTAGAGAAATGGGTGTGCTTTTTGAAAAATGGTTATTACTTGAAATTTTAGTTCAGTTGCCTTGTTAGTGTTTAAGCAATTGAGAAAAACTGTAATAGAGAGTAGGCCCAGCCTCCACAGATCTCACCCTATAGTCGGCCATAGTCAGTTGAGAGAACTCCCAGAGGACACTACTTCAGCTGGTCACATTCCTGGCAACATTAAACAAGGGGTTTGATTGATATTGCCTTTCATTGAGTCCACAAATGTTAAATTGACTTTGCACCAAAATGAGACCCATAGTGACTGCCTGAGATGTGAGGACTACGTTGTGTGCTTAGCAAAGACATAAAAGAAAGAAACAATCACAAGTACCTTGTCCATCAGTTCAGGAGCGGAAATTGAAATTGCTTCCCCACTGACGCGTGTTTTGAGTCAGACTACTTGACAGTGAGTGTTATTCCTAAATTAGAGGCTTAAAAAACAAAAATCCTGACTTATAAGTATGTGAATTCTGTCGACTTTAAAAATAGCATTACCATAGTCAATTTATCAGGGCCACATTGCACCAGTGCACTTTCGATTAGATTTTAGTCACAATCATAATTTTAAAGGCTTGCTAGGTCACACCTATTAACTCATAGTCCAGTAGATGTACATTAGACAAGGGAGGGTGAGTTTGTAGTTGTCTAGAAAGTATGTAATCTCCCTTTTCTTCACCTCACAATCAACCTATTATACAACATGTCTCGTGTGGGTCTGGATGATTAGATATGTACATGGAATCTTGGGTTCCCAGGTTTGCCTGCATTGTTTCTCAGGCCTCTGTTTCTAATGATTCTTAAATTGGTGAGACCCTGTGAGCCTCTTGAATGGGAGGTTTGAATCCAGGCATCGTGCCATCATGTGAATGTCACGCCCCCCCTACCTTCCTCCCTGTTTGATTGCTGTCCTCCCCAAGTACTAGTGAACTGTGATAAATGTGCCAGCGAAAGAGCACAATTGGATGTCCCTTTGTTTTGTAATATCCTGCCTGCGCAAAGGGAGGATCGATGCTGGACAAGACGACATCTCTGTGTTAAATATGGAATCAATATTGTTGTTGGACAGTTGGAAAGCCATCGACCTCGAGTTTGTACAGGCAACACACTGATCTGAGAGCAGATTAGCCCACTTGGCTGATTGGACTGCCCAAGCTCAATAGGAGTGAGATGAGGTCAATATTGCCGAAATACGATTTATCAATTCAGGCTCTTGTGTTTAAATTGCTGACCTGGCATACTGCATTCCAGTTCAGAGCTTCCAACCTTACCAAAGGCTGACAAGGCTATCCTATTTCAGCTTAGCAGGTCCAAATTCTGCCAATAAAGTACCAGCTTTCCATTAAGCTTTAACAACTGCGCTGTAGCGACGTTAAAACTAAAGTACAGAAAGCAACATGGAAAAACAGCTGAAGGCATCCGATATACTACGCTCATCATTTAGTGAGCTTCAAATGAGGTTTACCATTTGCACAGTATCTCTGGTCTGTCCCTTAATATTACAACATTAGTCCAACATCGCCAAGCCTAATAGCCACATTAGTCGTGCAATATGTTAATGCCAAGTTGGCTAACTACAAAATAAACAGTAAAACAACATACAACACGGAAACACTTGTGTCACGTCCAATCCAGTTTAATTTAACGTGCACTGAAGTGTAAAGCAAAAAAGTATTGTGGTTGTTGCGGTGCTTGCCATCCTCTGCTGTTGGCTTGCCCAGTATTTCAATTTTGCGGTTATCATGACAGCCCTAGTTACGAATTGCATGGCATATTAATCTGTCAGTGAAGGTTCTCAGTCATCCAGGTCATACTTATCCAAGGAAGGTTATAATCAAAGGACAACTAGACTTGGTTGAAGATACTCAAAGACATTTCGAATAACTTTAATATATCCAAGGAAGGTTAAAATCATGTGCTGAACAGAGCTGTTGATTCCCATCTTTCTCTCTGTAGCTTCAGTGTTTGAGACAACATTTCGTTGTACTTGAACATGAAGTTTGAATCTTACTTCCTTTCTCTCCAACAGACACATGCACACATGCACCCAAACAAAATCCTGTCACACTTTGTGGCTACCCTAGCCAGGTGATTTATTGAGTTTGGAGAAAAACCTCTGGCGCCCTCTTGATTTCTGTCTAGATGTGTAAATCCCATTGGATTCTTCACCCCCTGCTAAACTCAATAACTGGCAGTTGGTGGCCAGTGCTGCAATCCAAATGTGTTCTCCACTTTTTCACGGTAGAGTGGGTCATTCCTCGTCTCAGTTGCTTTCTCTTTGTGTGTCTGAGGCAGTTTGACTTCAGATATGTGGCTAAAAGAGACTTTGCAATGTTATACATATTCATTAAATCACCATTAGTCTGTAATTTCTTTCTGATGTTACAAAAGAAGCAAAGCAACTTTTCAGAGTTTATTTGTCACCTGTATTTTCAACAGCCTTTTCACATTGTCATTGGCGGAGCAGTCACAGTCAAATGGTATTATTTTATCTTTTTGGCAACAATTTCCCAGAAGAGATCAAAACCAGTAATTAATTTGTCATACTAACAGCCCCAGCTTGATACAGTGTATGCATGTGTGCCCAGAAATTGTAGTACAGAAAAAGGTTGACATTGATTTATTCTTTCAGCACAGGGAGTGCCACTTGCTTACTACCAAGATAAATCCTTTGGTTTTAGTCTCTTCAAAGAAATTGATTTATACAGGTAATAACAGTGTCTTGCTCAAGGGCACCTTGATTACTTTGTAGTCAAAAAACCAATCGATGGCTTCCAAAAACCTCATGCAATGTGATATTATACTGCATATATAAACTGTTTAAATTTCTCAGTATTTTTATATTGACATTCAGCTGTCAATATAAAAATGTCAGTAAAAAAAAAAGCCGTGTGCAAACAGTTTCCTGCTGCATGTACGGAGTTCATGAGTCACCCTGCTTGGAGCGTCACGGTACGCTGTTCGACGGTCTCTCTGGAGACGAGGCATCAATCAAGCAACTTTTAGCAATGTCGGCCCCTTGACAACCCTCCTTCATCTCCCCTTCCAT